GCGCGCTGCGGAGCCGGGGGAGGCAGCGGCGCCTCCTGCGCTCCGAGCTGCCCGTGCACCGGGGGCCCTCTGCGCCAGCCGCTCTCGCCTACCTGAAACGCTCTCCCGACCGCTGCGGTCCCGTGTCCCTCGCGGGAGCCGCGCGCGAGGCTCCTGCGGGAGAGCAGGGCGGTGCGTGAGCGAGGCGCCTGCAGAGCCAGGGCTGGCCGCCCCGCGGTGCCGGGGACGAAGGTTATCGGGGAGGCCCCGCCACCCTCCTCAGCACAGGCCGCCTGAGTCAGGTCRCCCTGGCCTCGGTGCCTCCCACGGGAGCAGCATTCCCCAAGCCCGGGCTGGCTCCGGGGACCCCCCAGCCCCGTCCACSTGGCCCTGCGCTTCCTGGACGGGCTCCCTGCCAGGGGAAGGGTACCCAGGGAAACGCTGGGCTCTCCCTGGCCCTTCACAGTCCCTCCCTCGTGCTCCCTTCCCACAGAAGGAAGAGCCTGGCAGACACGGGGCCCTTCCCAGCCCCTCTGCCCTTCCCTCGTGGCCTCCTTGCCCCCATTGCAGGGAGCCAGGCTGTCCRTGCTCCGGGCTTTGGAGCCCCTTGGCCTGCACAGCTGGTACCCCCGTGCCAGCTGCACGAGCTCCSGCGGCTCCTGGAGCCCTGTCCTGACCCAGCTGCTGCCGGCGCCCTCCTGGCGCAGYCCAGGCAGAGGGAGCTGCAGGGGAGCATGGAGGGGCTGTGGGGGAAACCGCCTCCCTCCCTTCTCCTCTGCCTTTTGTCCTTCTKCTTGGAAGGCCATATATGCAGGGCTGGGTTTCCTTTGGCCCTTGTGGCCCTGCTAGGGCCTTCGGGGAAATGAGATGATGTGCTGGAAGCTGAGAAATGAGGTACAGTTTGGGCTTCCTCAGTCTGCTTAAACCAGAGGTACAGAGCCTGATTTTTGTGTACCAGAGGATCTCTCTCTCTAAATGACAAGCCATCAGGTTGATAGGCCGTTTTCTGATCTGGAATAAGGAAGATGTCCATAGGGTCTGAAACGGAAATCAGCTTACGAGGTATGTAGGGATTTATGAGTAGTGCCCACCAAGGAGGCACTGTTGATCCTTGCCTACCTCGGGCAGACTCATTAGTGCTAATGGAAGCRGCTTGTGCTGCAGCATCGCAGCGTGAGCTGTTTCAAATGTGGCCCAGGAGCATCACAGTGACATCAGACAAGTTCAGTGCTTGACATCGGTGCTGAACTTCTCTCCCTTTCCAATGTAGAAAGTGTGCTGAACCCTCACATTTGCTGGAATCGCATTGCCCCGGGGACAAGATACCGTGACCCATCGCAGCGAACTGGCTCCGCTGCAGGGCTCAGTGGCTGAGCTGATAAACAGCAGACAGTGCTGCATTAACAGCTCCACTCCCCTGCAAAAAACAACCCCTTCATAGCCAGAGAGATTTCTTCYCATTTTTACTCATTAGCTGTCCTGAAATGCAGTGCCTCCATAGGCCAGGCATGAAGAGAAAGAGATCACAAGACAGTTGAGACCTGAGGACCTGTGCGAGAGCTGCTTGCTGGTGCCTAGGCATTCTGCACAGCAGTTGGAGCCTGTGGGGCCTGACACAGAGCAGAGCTGTTGCCCTGCACTCAGGCAGCTGAACGATGCAACCTGGATGGGCCATGAGCAGGGCGGCCTCCTCGCTGCAGCCGGCTGGAAGAACAGAAGGAATGCTTGTTCTTAGGGAATTATTTTCACCTTGGTAATTGAAATCTCTTCTGCGCAGTTCAGTACATCAGGCGCCTAAATTACACAATGCATTTTCAGGGCAGCTTGTGAAGCTTGAAGTAAGCCAGCATGTAAGCTGCCGCCGTGTATCTCCTGCCTATCTCAAACTCAGCAGAGCAGAACAGGCTCTGCACCACAGCAGTTCAAAGGAAAGCTTGAGGACCCACTGCACAAGGAATGGAGGGAGCTGGTCTGCCTACAGCCTCTGCTCCAGGTGAGCCATTAGAGGGAAAATCAGAACATGAATTCCTGCAGGTTTGCGGAGCCCAGTGYTTTGCATTTGCTTAGGCCTCCAGCCCAGAGAAGGAGCAAGAGAGCAGAGAACAAGCACCAGGAAAACACCCTGAAGAAGAGGGGCCAAGTGCAGTCTACAGCTCTTCTCCCCACAGCAGCCGGAGGTGGGTATCTCATTACGAAAGATGGAAAGCAAGAGGCAGCCTGGCAGAACAGATTCGTGAGAAGCGCTGGATAACCAAAGCTGAGAGAGCTGGGCCTGTTCAGCCTGGAGAAGGCTGAGGGGGAATCTGATCAGTTATCTATAAATCCCTCAAGGAAGGGAGTGAGGARGATGGGGCCGTCTTCTTTTCAGTGGTGTTTTTTCAGGAATTTAAAGAAAAAATCCTTGACAGTGAGAGTGACAGATCCTGGCACAGGCTGCCCAGAGAGGTTGTGGACTCTRCTTCTGTGGAGATCTTCCAAACCCGCTTGGATGCTGCCCTGTGCCCCRTGTTCTAGGTGCCCCTGCATGTGCAGGGGGGTCGGACTAGATCATCTCTAGAGGTCCCTTAGAACCTTAAGGATTCTATGATTCTATGAACCAGACACTGTGGCTGTTAAAGAGGACAGAGCGGGACTTTTCTGTGGATTTCCAGGGTTTGATCATAAGAAGCCATCAGAAAGCAGCGTAATTGCCGACACGTTGACTGCAGGGGGGACAGTTCTTCTGTGCCTGTGTCACAAGCCCCGAGGAAGGGGCTGCTGTGTCAGGAGCAGGAGTGGCGTGTCACAAGCCCCCTCGAGGCCTGGGGGGAAAACCTGATAGCCCAGAGCTGCCATCTGAAGGAGAGCGAGCATCTGGCACGCACATTGGCAGCATGGCACACGGCCCATCCTTGCGCGAGACCCGTCTTTAGGGTGAAGAGAGAAATCAGCCCATCGAGGTGCTGCTGTTACCRAGCCAGCCGTGCAAGCTCATCACCGGGTGCTCCTATGGGGCCGCCGCTGTTGCCCTGTGGCCCCTGGGCAACGGCAGCTTCACCTCTGAGGACGTTTGTGCCTGAAATAGGACAACCACAAGTAGCATCCCTGGCGAGCACTCCCGGGCAGCTTGTTAACAGCCCGAATTGGAGAAGGTTTTACAACACACTGAGATGAAGCCCTTGATCCCCCCTCAGCAGCAGGACTGTTGCCTTAAACCAAAGTCAGGCTGTTGAGATCTTCTTCGCGTCTCTTGTCCTCTTTTCTCTTCCTAACCCCTCTGAGAGCAACCTAGCATCCCACAGGACTGCAGGTCTTCCTCACAACACCACCTGGGAAGATCCTTCTGCTAGCAGCACACTATTTAGGATGCATGGCAAGATTTGGGTGGCTCACAGAATTCCTTTGGCTGCATGAACTTGTAAGTGCCTGGAGAAGACAAAACTAGTTTCCATCTGGCAAGGTGCTGGGTATCACCTGGGCTGCACTGGTCCGGTTGTCAGAGAGGCTGGTTTGACRTAAAGGCCTGGGTGTCAGTCTGAGATGTCCCACATGCTTAACAAAGTGTAATTTAACCCATATGTCCTTGCAAAGGAGGAGGAGGCTTGCAAAAGTGAACATGGGGGCATGCAAAGCTGTTACACTCTACTGACTTGGAAGAGCATTGATCAGTTTGTCCTAGCTGCAGGTCTGGTCAGGAAAGTTTTAAGTACAGCGGATTGATTGCTACCAAGGGACAAATTCCCCATAGTTGGTTGGATTCGAGCTCTAAAGTGCTGACATATTGATCTGTTTATGGTGACTTATTAATAGCGGCCCCGTACCCCAAATGCAGCCATGCAGTCATACAAGTGAAAAAGCGTGCTACTCCTTCGCTGTGCTCAGCCATCCT